TTTTTTTTTTTTTCCTCTGAGTCACACTCTCAGAAAATGGTTTCTAGGTTTCTAAGATGGCTATGCTTATGCTAATTTACTAATCTTACTAATGCTTAGATTCTACCTTTCCCCACTTTCCTTTGACCATTCCAATCATGGAATGTTTGTTTCTTCTGCTGTGTGAGTGAATGATGCTGTGGCCTCAGCATTAGCACCTGAACAGCACTCACTCTTTCCCTAACAAAGGCTATTGGCCGGTTTAAGATACAGGGACCTAAAGTGAGAAGCAGTATGAAAATAAGCAAGGGCCCTGCCAGGGTGGATATCAGGGTTGTAAACCATGGGGATTTAGTGAACTAGGATTCAAATAGCCCTTGGCTGGCCTCTCGCTCTCTCTTCCTTTGATCTGGTCTCTCTCTAAGTTTAGACATTGAATCTCTTACTATTCCGGAATGGTCTGCTGTTAAGGTTTAGCTAAGTTTTATTAGTTCTTCCTGACTCTTAATGCTCTCTGCACTCCTTTACACCATCTCTAAAACATCTATATTCAGGGGTGCTGTGAGCACTAGATTGCACCCTGCAATACCCCTTACCACACAGCCCTGGCTGTCACTGCTGACTCATCTCTCCCTCCTGATAGACAGTGAGTTGTGGGGGCGAGGCTATGCCTGTGTCATTTCTGCACTCCCACCTCCCAGCCCAGTTCATGGCACCCAGCAGGTACTCAGAACAGTCTACCAGATGAACTGATGGATGATGGATGGATGGGTGATGCAAGGATAGATGCATGGATGGATGGATGGAAGGATGATGGACAGGTGGTTAAATGATGGGTGGGTGGATGGATGAATGGATGGATGGGTGGGTGATGGGTGGTAATAGAAGGATAGATGGGTGGATGGATGGATGATGGATGGATGAATATATGGATGACTTAGGGCAGCAGTGAGCTGTTAAGGTAAAACTGCCTACGATGCTCCTCTCAACCCCAGGGCTTCCTGCAGTCAGAACTGAGGGGCGTAGACACAGAAGGGCTGCTCTCTCCCTTCCCTCCCCCTCGCCCTCCCCTCCGTGTGTTTACCACTCCCCCTGCACTGTGTTCTCCCGTGCCCCTTGCCTTGACCATGCAGAACCCTCTCCTGGGACTGCTTTCCTCCCCCTTTCCTCTTGGGTGAGCCTGGCTCAGCCTTCAAGTGTGGGTGCAGACTCCTCCCTTCCATGAATCCCTCTAGACTGAGCTCAGGTGCCCAGTGCTGGCGACACCATGTTCTAATGATCAGCCGTCCAGTCTGCTAGAGCGGGAGTGATTTCCCAAACATTCTCCCACACCTAGCACCAAGCTCCCCCCGGCCCCTACTGATAAACGACAGCTGCTCCAAACAGATCTCACTGATCTCATACTTTGTCAGAAATACAGTGTGTTACATAACAATAGGGATTAACTAGGAGAAACTTCCAATAATGTGGTAATGCCTGTGCAAACTTCTCAGATTGCCTGCTTCAGACTAAACACTCATTGTTATTCATTTGTTTGCCACCTGTCAGGTGCCAGGACCAGGCAGGTCTCTTGGCAGGCATCATCCTTCACCTCACGTCTGTAAAACACAGATGGAGTCGCTCAGGCATTACTGTTAGGCCCATTTTGCAGACATTGAACCTGGGGCTCAGAGATAGAAGTGACCTGCCCAGGGTCACACAGGTGGGCCGATGAGGAGCAGGGGTGGGATCCCAGGCCCTCAAGGCACGGCTGCCTGCTCACCTGCCCTTGCCCTCTGCTCTCCGGCAGGACCAGGCCCCCTGGATCCCTTACCTGAGTATCGTGTGCATTCTGGCCGTCATCGCCTCCTTCTGCAGCGGGCCAGGTAAGGCGCCCTCCCTCCTCGCCGGCTCTGCTCAGGTTCCCTGTCTTTTTCTACAGATGCGGAGCTCAGGGCCAGGGGAGGGGCAAGGCCCAGCAGGGGATGGGGGGCAAGGGAGTTCCCTACCTGCTTAAACGCAGTGACAGCCTTCATTTCCACCTGCAGACGGTAGGTAACAGGCTCACCCAAAGATGCACAGATGAGAACTTAGAACAACACAGCCACAACTCCCCGTGGTGAGAGCTGTGAGCCTGACACACTAGCTTGGGGTGGCGAATCAAACATACTCCACTTACAGTCTGTGCCCACGGAGCAGTTAGAGTTTAGGCTAGGAGATGTGATGATGGTGATGGTGAAGATGATATTGACATCTAGGATTTGTTGACCACTGGTTACATGCTCTACTTGGCCAAGTAGTGGATGTGCATTCACATGCTCATGGCTCACGATACCTCCAGAGAAGCAAAGATGGGAAGCAGCTTGCATACAGCGAGCAGTGATCACACCGCCTGACCCTCAGGCCCCTGACCGCCCCCTGATGCTGTACCTACATGAGTCTGCAGTCTGGAGTATTCTGAGCCTCAGTTTACCCAGGACTCACTTCTGACCTCAGCTCTGTCATTTGTCTAGTGGGAAAGTCCTCTCCTTGGTTCTGGCCACAGTTTACCCATCTGTGAAATGGCTGGGGTGGGTGAGGCCGAGGGCCCTGCCACCCCCAGGCTCTGGGTCTGTACCTGGCAGGGGCCATGGTGAGACTGAGAAGGGGGCTCAGGGAAGGTCTGATGGTTGTACCCATCTGCCTGGGAAGTGTGGCTATGGTTTTTCTTTGTTTTGGTTTCTCTGTTGATGAAAACGACAGTACATTTCTATCAGAACAAAGAGAACCGAATTTCTCTTTCTGCCTTCATGTTGCCGCTTTTCCCAGGCCAGGATGTTTCATGTCCTGTCACATTTGTGATGGATGACAAGCATTTGTCTCCATCTGGGACAACAGAATGTTGTCATGCATTGTCACAACTAGAGCTCTTCTAAGAGGGAGACAAAGGAAGTCACCCTAAAAGTGACTTGGTTAAACCTGGAGGCCCTGGTTCCCATCTTCTCCAGCACCTCCTGCTCTCGACAGTCTGTGCCGCACTAGTGAGAGTATCCAGGCATTAGCCTTTCTTGGTTATTTATGCTCATATAACCCTGTGCTGGGTGCCTTAAACACTTCACCGTTACTCTTCGGGATTAACTACTCCCATTTATAACTGAGGAAACTGAAGCCTGGACAGGTTATGAGATCCCTAACATGATACAGCTAGTAACTGTCCAAGTCAAGATTTGAACCCAGACCTTTAAAAACCTGTGCTCTTTTTACCCCACTGCAAAGGATAAGAATTCATGTCCACTCACTGCTCTGGGCTTTACAAAGCACATTCCCTCTGTCCCCTAATGTAGTTCTCACACCAGTCCCCTGACAATAATAACACTGAGCACTTGCTATGTGCCAGGCCCTGTTCTAAGTACTATAATTCTTACATAAATACTGTGTGAATATAAGATAACAGAGTCATATTGTCAAAATAAAATCATAATAATCAGAGCTCAAACTTCACAACAGTTTGCAGGATACTGGTCCTCACAAGACACAGGTGAAGTCCAAAGCCATTGGCACAACTCCCCAGAGTCTTCCTTGCCATGTTGGGGTGCACCCCAGTCGGGACTGAATTTGTGAGGTCTAAAAGATCATGCAGGGTGCCACTTATGTTCAGGAACTGTTTTATGCATGAAACGTCTCCATTTTATTATTTGATAATTACTGTCTGACACCGACATTTTCCAATGAGTTATTTCCATAGCTATACCTTCCAATCTAAATAGCCCAGGTATAGGCTACTAAAAGCATGTTATGCGTAAGAACTCTCTGATCTTTCTGCTAGGAAATACCATTGTGAAGGTGGATTAGCAAGTTCACAAGCAAATCAGACTTTTCCTCTTTTTTTCTTTTCTCTTTCCTCTCTCCCTGCCCCAGATGATAGATGAGTCACAGATCAGCTGTGAAATCTTCCTTTCCCAAACTATTGATGAAAAAACCAAAGCAAAGTTTCACTAATTTTCCCCAAGTCACACGGCTAAGAAGTGCTGGATTTGAATCTACACCACCTTGTTCTAGGACCTGTAGTCTTAACTCTTAATTATGCACGTGGTCACTGCTCATTGGCTGTTTGCTAAAAATTGGGTGGAATTACACCCACTTGGAAATTGACCTACAAGGTGACAGAGAATTTGGGCTTCTATTTTTATCTTCCCAGAATGGATCACAATAATGACCTATTATTAATGCTTAGGAGGGAAGATGGAGTTGTCTTCCTGCTTTGGATCATCATAATCCAGTCCCATTTGTGTCTACATGGAAAGATACAATTTTGCCATTCATACCTAGGTATCAGATCTCTTTGACTGAAGGTGAATTCGGAGCATTTTGATTTTTATGGTTCCCAGCCTGTCCTGCTGGTTGGTATTATCCAGGAGCAAAGAATGGCCTTTACGTTTTAAAGGGGAGGAGGAAGAATGGGTGACAGACACCACACGTGGTGGCCTAAAAGGCCTAAAATATTCCTACCTGACGTTTCTCAGAAAAAGCTTGCCGACCCCTGCCAGAGGCCCCCAGTTCAGACATTTGGAAGAAAGAAGAGCGAGTGAGTGGATGAGGCAGGAAAGGAGGGGCTGCCACACAGAGGGGAAGCCAGCAAAAATGTCAGAATATGAAAGGAGGTCAATGCCAAAGGAACGGCAAGCAGAAGTCCTCCAAATGCCTGAATCGCGTGGGAAGCTTTAAAAAATGGTGTCCAGGCCTCAGCCAAGGTCAACCAAGTCATAATCTAAAGGTGGGACCTGTGTTCCACATTTTCTAAAACTCTTGCATGATTCTACTGTGCATCCCCACTTGATGACCCCTGGTGTAGAGCCATGTTTTTCAGCCCTGGCTGAATATGTTACAGTCACCTGGCTGGCTTAAACAACCGCTAGACCGGTGACACTCACGCCTCACCTGACAGCAGCTGAACTGGAGCCGCGGGTGGAGCCCAGTGAGAGCCTCCCCAAGCTAGGGGCAGACTGGGGGGGGGGGGGGGCAGGGGCAGCAGAGGCGCTGGAAGCCGCTGCAGGAGCCTGGGGCATTGTGCGAAGGACTGTGGTTTCATCCCCAGCCCCAGGGAGGTCTAGTGGAGATTTGAGGCACGAACGCCCTGGAGCAGATCTGCAGTGAGAGGAATGGATCTGGGAGGTAGATGGGAGGGGACAGACCCGGGCAGAGAGAGCAGCCAGGGCCTGGTGGGGATGCAGGCGGGCGCAGTGAGGCCCCAGACAGGGGCAGCTGGCCTGGGCAGTGCCACTCTGGGAGGGGACCCACAGATTTTGCCCCTGGGCTAAATGCAGACCACTGAGTGGAGGAACTATGATTCCTAGTAGGATTTTAGTGCTTTGGGGCTATTTTTTCCCCTAACAGATGTTTTCTCAGGAAGAACAAGGAACGTTGATGTATCTCAGTGGAAATCTTCCTCCCTTTCTGCCTCCACAAATAAGCTCAATTGGACACATCCACCAACCTGTCTAAAGTGCTATTCTGGTTCAAACCATAAAGCTTTGCCATCTGTGTTTCTCCCAAACTGATCCCCCCCACTCCCAAGTGTTTGCAAACACAGCTTCCTTCTGATCACAGAACCTGCTGAGTTCCCGGCACTTAAGATCCTGAGCTCCCTGTCTGTGTCTGGGAGTCTCCCTAAAAGGAGGTGCACCCGCCCTCCCTAGTCCCAGATCAGCTGTCAGCCCCTACCCTCTGCTCCCGGAACCCGCATGTTCACCAGCAGCTGGGCCTCGTCTAGCAACTACTTTAGCCAAGGATTGACCAGTGTTTGGAAGCTCCACTTGAACTCCCATTGACGGTGCACAGTGTAAGCCCCTGCGGAAATTACCTGCCTAAGGGAAGCGGCTGTGTGGGATGTGAGATCATCTCACACGCTTCTACGTGGACAGAAAGGAGCAGATTCCAAGAGGGCTGCCCTAGCGGAGTGTGGCTCAGAGATGCTGAGAGAGAAATGGCTGAGGGGCTCCCCGCTGGAGGCTGCTCCTCCCTATTCAGTGATTGACCAGGAGGAACCCTGAGCTTGCCTGAGGCAGCTTCTGTGGTGAGCAAACCGGTGGAGGAGAGGAGACGTGACCGGGAGCTGAGATTAGGTGAAGGGAAAGAAAGAGAACAAGGAAGACGGCGTCCTGCGACATGTTTTGTGTGCGTAACCCCGAGCGAGGCAGTGGTAGTCCCAGCTAATAAATGAGGC